AAGCACTGGCAGTCAACCCTACGAACCAACTCTCGTGCCACCCTGTAAGCTCTACTATTGGTCTTGCCTCAGAGACCCTTAAATGAATCTCAAAAGAGATCAAAAAGCCACAGTTAAGCTCGGACCCATACATGGCTGAACAGACTGGAATAAATTGGAGGGGGTGGGTTGACCTGTGCCCACCCAAGCAGAGCCCCCAGCAGCCACTTGCTTCCACAATCCAAAATTGCCACCATATCCCAAGCATGACTCCTCTGCTCAGGATGGATAATCTGCTGAAAATTTTATAATGTGGATCTTAGCATGCCAACAGCCCTGGCCAAAAGACACAGAGGCAGGTCCTGGAAGGCACCACAGTGTCAGAGATCTCTCCGGGCCCCATACCAAGCCAATATCACCAGGGCAGCCTAGATGGAGCAGGTGCAGTCTCCCCGCCTACTCCTGATGGAATCCTGGTGACCAAGAGCTTCCACAAGCATGGCCCAGATATGTGGGTTCCAGGAATAAATCTCCAGGCCGCATAGTGGCAGAAGACCTGGGTTGTCACTTCCCGGGTCCCTGCCCGCCCAGAAGACTGGCTGTAACATCCACAATTTGCCTCCGGATGCCATCTTGGTGCACCAACAACCCTGGCCAAGAGAGTCCCAATTGAATACCAAAATGGTTTAGTGCCATACAGATATGTCTCTGAAACCCAACAATTTACAATCTAGAAATTTACATTTACAATTGTGGTTGTGCAAGCTCTCGTGATATTCAAAATGAGCTATGGAAAATATATTGTCTAGCATCTGCTCCTGGTAGTTAGGCTTGAATGGTGGTAGGAAAATTTGAGCAGAGCATGTCCCAAATTGGAAAGAAAGTATTGGGGAAATTGTCTGCCATAGAGGCAGGGTGAGGACTGCAATGTGTATGTGTGTGGAGGGGGAGGGAGATTGATGCTTGGGACATTGGTGGTGGAAAATGTGCCCTGGTGGAGCGATGGGTGTTGCATCATTGTATGGCTGAATCTCAAATATGAAAGTCTTGTAACTCTATCCCATGGTGATACAGTAAAATAAAAAAGTAATGTGGAGTTTGTGCCAAATTCAATCAATTAATGGCTGAACAAATAACAGTACTTTTACATTATTTTTTAGCACAGCGGGTAGGGCGTTCGCCTTACACGCGGCCAACATGGCCGACCCAAGTTCGATTCCTCCGCCCCTCTTGGAGAGCCCGGCAAGCTACCGAGAGTATTTGATATGCCAGACACAGTAACAACAAAGTCTCCAATGGAGACGTTACTGGGCCCGCTCGAGCAAATCGAGGATCAACGGGAGGGCCTTTACCTTTACCTTTACCTAATATTAATAAAAGGAAAAGATAAAAGAATAGAAAATCAGACACAATATAGATATCATAAATCAATATCATCATAATGATATATAATCATCACAGTTAAATAAAATTTCTCTTGTACGTAGACATAAGAATACTTTTGATCTCCACTTTTACGAATTCCTCTCTAGCACACAGTTCTTTCATATAATGTTTGGAGACCAACTCAACTACACTAAACTGTAAATAGTGAGACAAGGAAAATAACCCAAACACTCAATTCCCCACAGAAGACTCACATTTATTACGTTCAAAGAAAGCATAACCTGTGCCTAAGTAAAATGCAGGTCCATTCTCCATTTTGTTAGGAGCTCTAGCAGTGTCAGAACTAAATACAATAACTTGATCTCTGTTTTGCTGATGATATGTGTTGAAAGAGGATAATGTGTTGAAAGATGGCCCGGCTTCAGAACACTGTGGAAACCTTCTATAGTGTTTTAATGAGTTTGCCTCTGGCTGGAGTGATAGCACAGCGGTAGGGCGTTTGCCTTACAAGCGGCCAACATGGCCGACCCGAGTTCGATTCCTCCGCTCCTCTCGGAGAGCCCGGCAAGCTACCGAGAGTATTCGATATGCCAAACACAATAACAACAAAGTCTCCAATGGAGACGTTACTGGGCCCGCTCAAGCAAATCGATGATCAACGGGAGGGCCTTTACCTTTTACCTCTTTGTAACTATAGGAATCATTTCCTCACACTTTGGATGACTCGTCTCTGGAATAAGTGGTCTGTATTCACTGAAGGAGCTTTCTTCTTAGTACCTGTAACTAATTTGCTTTCTCTTCAAGCACTTTATCTTCTGTCTTGGGTTTACCTTTAACTCTCTCCTTTACATCTTGTGTTCAAAAGATGAGTGCATCATTTCTGTCCTTACAAACATCTTACTGTTCACCTCACTGTCTTGCTGATTCAGAAAATATTCTAGCAGTTTACAGAGAACCACTGATTTGAATCATCAGTTAAGGATACCAGTAACATCTTAGACCTAGTTCAAAGGAAAGTTCCGAAACCATACAAAATGACAATCAACAAAGAAAGCAAAAGTACATGTACATATGGAGATCAAGCAAATCTAAGAACATTAGTCAATAGGCATCCAACCTGAAATAGTCAATTCAATGTCTGTGCACAGTTTTTCCATTATTATAATAATAATGGTATTACTAATTTTGTATGATTTATAGAACTTTAAATAGTGGTAGGGGATAGAGTAAAACAATGAAGATACATGGTTGGGTGTATTGGGAAAGAATCCACTAGTAATTTTTGCTCATTTTAGCACTTTTTCACAATTTTTCACAGAACTCAATGATCCCGAAATGTAACTTCTTTTATTAATTATCGCTTTTTCAAATCATTTATGCTCCAGTTTGATAAGACTGGAGACTGTCTTGGCAACATTATGCCAGAGAATGGGCTTCCATTCAAAGAATCTGGTTGTGCTATGTTTGCTCAGAGGCAATGCTTTGTTTGTTCAGTCTTTTTAGATGGATTTATTTCATATGATGGCCCCTTGGTTCCAGGAAACAGACTTCCAGAAAGTATCTCTCCATTCTTCTAAGAGTCTCAGAACAAGACTCAAAAACACTGGCAAAAGTTCCTTCCTCAAGACATTATCTTGGACTCACAGCCTTCAATATGTTTTATATAGCACTGTAGCACTGTCCTCCTGCTGTTCATCAATTTGTTCGAGCGGGCACCAGTAACGTCTCCATTGTAAAACTTGTTACTGTTCTTGGCATATCAAATACAACACAGTGAGCTTGCCAGGCTCTGCCATGCGGGTGGGATACTCTCAGTAGCTTACCAGATTCTCTGAGAGGGACAGAGGAATTGAACCCGGGTTGGTCGCATACAAGGCAAACACCCTACCCGCTGTGCTATTGCTCCAGCCATGTGTTATATATGTGAAAACATTACAATATTTTTATGAGATGATGATGCAGAATAAAATTTCAGACACTATGTCTTTGTTACATCTTAAAAGAAAGGGCTCCTCTGTTTCTCTGTGCCAACCTATCACAACCGTATGTAGTTTCTATCACTGCTTGTTTTTGCACAGACCTACAGTCATGGAATTCTAAATGGCAATAAGCTTTAGCCTTGAAAAGAATTGCCACAGATAGTTTTCAAGTCATCGTCCCATTGTCTACTTTCTCTGGTCTTCCTTTTGAATCTTCTCTTTGAAAGTTACTTTCAGGGGCTGAAGCAATAGCACAGTGGGTAGGGTGTTTGCCTTGTATGCGGCCAACCCGGGTTCAATTCCCAGCCTCCCATATGGTCCCATGAGCACCGCCAGAAGTTAATCCTGAGTGCGAAGCCAGGAGTAATCCCTGAGTATCGCCAGGTGTGACCCAAAAAGAAAAAAAATAAAAGATAGTACTTTCAGATGCCTAAAGTGCCATTTTTTCCTGCATGTTTCTTCAAGTAGGAAAGAAAATTGAGATCATTATTATTTATCAGTTTATTGAGTTGTTTCACATCAAAATGTTCAAGGAGCTAGGTAGAGGGATGATAAATACTCATTTAGGAGTATCAAAATGATACATTTGGTTGTCTCAAAGCACTTATTCTATGAAAATCATCTATCATAGTAGTAGGTTTCAATGAGAATAGTTTAGCACTGTTGGCACAAAGATTGAGACAACCACTTATGAAAACTTAACAGAAAAGATAATTTTATTTATTGAGTGGTAGGCCACATCCTGCTGTGCTCATGAACAACTCCTGGAAGTGTTTATAGGAAATTATGCAGTACTAGGCATCAAAGGAGAATTGGCAGTATCCAAAGCAACCTTAGCTGCTATCCTACCACTGCAGCCCCATCATGGATGATGGATGATGTGTACATGGATGTGTACATCATGGATGATGTGTACATGGATACATCTATACATCTATACATACAGCTATACATGGATAGAAAAATCTTTAGATTTATCCTGTATCTATAGATATCTACCATGCAGAGCACTAATATTCTTCAATGGCCATATTACCAAAAAGCAAACATCTTACTATCTTCTCTTTTAGTATGTTGTAGTAGCCAAAAGGGGTCTTTTACTACGTTTGTCAAACATGCATATTTCATTTGTCTCAAAGTTTAAGATTTCTGAATTTCCAAGGATCACTCTTGCATCTTTATGAGAGCTTATATCTGCACCATTACACTGTTAGAGGGGGTGATGATAGTAACAGCAGATAGCTATCCTAGAATCTAGAACTAATGTCTGGAAAATACAAAGAAAGAAGCTACCTTATGTGAATTTTTGATAATTCTGGGTATATTTTATGTTCTGAAAAGAGAAATCAAAAATGAATTCCATGATTATTAACTAGAACCATCATTCATTATCCCATTTGCCTAACTAAAATTGGAATGAGAAGGAAAATCTTAAGCTTCATGGATCTTTGTGACATAGTGCATAATTTCTGAGATATAGTCAGTCTGAATTAGTGTTGACTTAGCCATGGATAAATAGTAACACTATCTCTTTTTATTTATTTACATTGATCAAACTGTGCAACTCCATTTGAACTTCACTATGTGAGCAAGAAAATCCCTACTTCATTAAATCTTCTTAAATGTCTCTCCTGTTATTTTTTTTTTCTTTTCTAGCAATACTTCCATGCAGGAGGAAATGGTCTGAAAAAGACTTTCTTGGAGAAAAGCCCAGATCTTCAGTCCCTGAAATATGCTCTCAGTCTTTATACTCAAACTACCGATGCCTTGATAAAGAAATTCATAGACACACAAACCACCCAGAGTAAGTAATGTATCAAATGTGAGAAAAAAGCAAACTGAATACTTACCTAAAATTCAGCATAAAAATTATTGTAAGTAATACTACTGAATTTTACTATGATGAAGTGTAACATAAGAATAATGAGGATTGTTACCAGGTTTTTATAACATACATCAATCATACATGTAGAAATAATTTTTTATTACATTTGAATATTTTAATAGTAAAACTATATGGAAAGGTTGACTCAGATTAGTGGTTTACTATAAATTTAGTAAAATCTAGTTTTGTATATGCATAATTGTGAAAATTATTTTCAATTAAAATAAAATATTTAGTATTTGCTGATCTTCGTAACTTCTAAAAGTGGCATTTGTTTCCAAAGTCTGACTTAAAATGTAAGACTTCCTGCTGTAGACTTCCAAAAAGGGAATTTCACTGTATTTGATTCCATATAGAAAAATTATGCATCTTTTATTTTGAAAGAGACCAAGACAAAATATTTTATTTGAAATTCAAATTCTTTTCATGTGACAAAATTTTCACATCATAAGTTTCTAAGATATTACCATTAAAAAACCTTTTTTTTTCAAGTTGTTTTGTCATTTATTATTTATTGGAAGTTATAGGCATTTGATATCTGGAAATTCTGGAAGATAACAAATAATGTCCATATTATTCAAAGAAAGACCATAAAAAAATTTTCACTATAGAAATAATGAAACTATATGAGGGTGATGTCATCATTCATGAGAGATCCTTGGATTTTGTTTCCTGTGATGGAAATGCTCCAGAATTATTTGTACTTCTTCATGGATACCTTTATTTTTCTAACTGCATACAAATTGCCAAAGTAGGTCACTTAACCTTTCCCATACTTTCAATTAAACAGCAAAAATGTTCCTTTTATTGAGATAAGGGAACTCAAGTCACATCTTTGGATATTACAGAAGATGAGAACTGAGCTCAGCTCAAGATGAGTTTTCAAGTTATACAGTAATGTTCAAAATATTCCCTGAATTCATTAACCATCAAGGATCTTCTGAACTTTATCAATCTGAATGCAGTTCTAATACACTGCATAATGTCATAGCTTTGCTCCCAGTGAATGTGTTTTTAAAACTTTTGTTTTGCTCTCATAAGATATACAGCTCAGGGTTTATCATAAATTTGGCTCAAAATCATACATTTGCATATAATTTTCGCAAGTGGAATTTAGCTCTTTTTTATTAGATGTACTATATAGCAACATAAAAGACATTTGGATGTGAGTAAAAAAGAACAAGATCTGTTAATGTTATTATTCCAATAACTTCCCCAATTTAATGCAACACTTAAGTCTTGGTTTTTATTTTCTTTTATTTTCCTTTTTACTCATGCTTTCTGACTTTGAAGTGTCTGCGTTTCCTCCAATAACTGTTCAGTCGTGCTCCACAGATACTTGTTTTTATTTCCTCCGTGTCTTCCTTATCACCTACAAATGCCTCGGGAAGACTCCATCAAATATAAAAGAAAAGAGGCCTGAGAGAGTCTGAGCCTTCATCCTGAAGACTAAGGATTTAAATATTTTTATCCTTTCCCTACCCTCTTCTGAATGCCTTTCTACTTCCAGATTTGGGAGTGCAGACTCTGACAGGGAAGAGGAAAGCATTAATGTTCCCTTTATAACTGTCTTCAAATTCTGGCTTTCTGAAGGATGTAGTTGTAGGGATTTTCCTTCCTTTCTTCCGCAGCTTTATTTATATTCTGTACGCTTATGAATTCTGTGCATAATTTCTTGTTGATAAGTTTACACATCTGAATAGTGTCAGTTAAGCTTTTTCTCTAGAAAAAGTCCTATGTTCATATATATGTGTGCGTGAACATATATATTTTTCAAGTAATTAATAAAATGCAGAAGAGTAAGTGAACATTATTTGGAAAAAACTTACAACTTACCATTTACTTTATGACCATTAATATGCAGAGTTTTGTTGTTCTTCTTAATTTCTAACTTACATTTTACAGTGATATTATTGTCTAAAACTACAGGGAATTAATTTTTTTTAATTTTTTTAAATTTTGGGGTCATACCCAGTGATGCTCAGGGATTGCTCCTGGCTCTGTATTCAGGAATCACTCCTAGTGGTGCTCAGGGAACCACATGGGATGCCGAGGATTGAACCCAGGTCGGCTGTGTGCAAGGCAAAGGCCCTCCCAGTTGTACTATCATGCAGGTCCAACAGGGAATTATTAAAATGTTATTTAACCAATCAATGTTTTATGTATAAAGATTCAGAGTTAGAAACATATATATGCTTTTAAAAGTATTTATACTTTACTTCTTTAATTTTTATTAAATATTTTTATCTGTTTCACTTCTCTTTTGATAAAAATTTCAGTCTCAACCTTTTTTCTGTCTTTTTCTCTGTCTGTGCTAGAAAATTTGTGTAGATACTAAGTCTAAAGAAAAAAGAATGACTTTTGAAGTTTTTTGCCTTTTGATTTAAATATTTATTTTTTAATTATTTTTTATTTTAGGGGCTGGAGCAAAAGTACAGGGTGCAGACCACTTACCTTGCTCACAACCAATCTGGGTCTGATATCCATCAGTACATAAGGTCCCCTAGTTATGCCAGGAGTGATCTCTGAGCACAGAACAAAGAATAAGCCCTGAGCACAGCCAGCTGTGACTCAAAATCCAATTATTTTTGTTTAATTTAGTGGCTTTCAAATATTGATATAGTAACCATATGTAACTTGAAATACAATTTTCAGCAGCATGTTATGGAATCATTTTACTTTAATTTAACTTTTAGGATTTGTAAGTATGGAAAGCTTCTTTGGTTTATTCTTTTAAATTTTATTTTGCTCACTTTAGGGAGTTATGATAGTGTTAAAATTTATGATTGTATACATTATGCATACACAAGTATACAGAGTTCCTGTGTACCCCTCACCAAAGGGCCACAACCCTTTCCCACTGTCTTTGTCTTTTTTGGTCTTATCTCTCCCTGCTCCAATTTGGTTCTATATTCCACTGTATCATTGTTCAGTACTATGTTCTTATTTTTACACACTATAGGCCTTGGAAGAGTGAGAACATACCATATTTGTTCTTCCCTTCTTCCTTATTTTGCACAACTAGACAGCTAGTTCTATCCACATTGCAGCTATAAAGACATGTCCCACAACTTCTTGATCCATTCATCTGTACTTGGATATTTGTATTTTTTTCTATATTCTGGCTAGTGTACAAATATATCTTTGTATGTAGAGTCAAGTCATTGAAAATTCTTCTATTTTATCTTGCCTGGATGTATTTACATGTTTTCTTCAATGCATTTAATGGTTTATGATCTAATTTTGAGGTTTTTAATTCACTTTGATTTAACTTGAGTAGTGTGAGACATGGTAGCAGCTTCATACTTTTGCATATGGCTATCCAGATTTCCAAACATATGCACAAGTGACTTTACTTGTTCCATTTCATGCACTCAGCTCCTTTGTCATAGATTATCTATCCATAAATTTGAGTTTGTCTTGGGACCTTTGATTCTGTGTCATTAGTCTACAAGTCTATTATTATTCCAGTACCACACAGTTTTAATTATAATAGCCTTGCAAAACAATTCAAAATATGTAAATAAAGTATCTTTCATGATCTTTTGTCTTAAAAATGTTCTAGTAGGGAGTTTTCCTTGCACACAGCAGACCTGGATTTGGTTCCCAGCATCCCATATGGTCCCTTGAGCACCCCCAGGGGTAATTCCTGAGTGCAGAGCCAGGAGTAACCCCTGTGCTTCCCCAGGTGTGACCGAAGGGGAAAAAAAGAAGAAAAAGAAAAAGAAAAAAAAACAGTTCTAAAGGTCTATATACTTACTTTCTTTTTGTTCTCTCCATTTCTAAAATATTGGTCCTTTCTCCCCAATTTTACTTTTTTTCTTTTTTAAATAGATTTACAAACATTCTTTTGTAATAGTTTAAAAAATGCAGGGATTTAACTCCATTATAAAGTTATAAACCAGAGTTCAAATGAAGCCTGTCAGTTGGAAAAATGCTATGTTCTTCGCTTCTTCTATATATTGGTAAACAAACTAATATGAAATAAAAATATTGTCAACTTCTTGAGTGAAAAAATAGCTCAAATTATAATAGTTTAATATTCTAGCATTGTGCTGCAATAACAGAATAAATCCTTACTCTAAATTCACAACAAATATTAATATGAACAAAGTCACATTCAATAAATCACATATTTAGAAGTAAACATGGTGTCATGTACACCACCTCCTCTAATATTGGGTTCTCAAGAAGGATGTTCTGTCCCCCCAGCAGAATATTTGATCGTATCTGAGTTTTCCTTTTATCTCTAGGAGTGATAAAGAATATTTGATCGTATCTGAGTTTTCCTTTTATCTCTAGGTCCTGTTTCTGGCAGCTAGTGGACAGGCACCAGGAAGATGCTAAATATCTCTCATAGCTTCCCACAACAACAACAAATTATCTTACTCTCAATATAATAGGGCTCAGATAGACCCTCTTTTGAGTACTAGAATGACAAGTGAAAATTACAAAATGAAGTCATATAGAAAGTAGAAAAAATTGGTTTAAGTAGAAATAGAAGGCAGAGGAGTTTGTAGTTGATTGAGCCATGCAAAGAAAAGTCTGAATACAAACTGTCCTAGAAGTGTATAATTGAACATACAATGTTAAATTCGCAGTTGTCAGATACATTCATGATATATTTTTCTAGGACCCACTGCTTTCAAATCCATACTCCCTACACCAGTACCTTTGTTTAAATTAATAGTTTAAGTATTTTAGATGAAAACATACAGAATAGTACAGTAGATTTTCTATTCAACTAGTAGAAGTAATTTTACTATTATTAGTAATTGTTACATTCTTCCCTTTAAAATTGTCCCAGTGGTTTAGATTTAGCTGTTAGCTTGAAAAACTATACTTCCTTTTACTTCTCAAGGATGTTTAAGAGACAAGTGTAAATTTTTTTTATCAGATTCTCATTATTATGTTCATCA